AAACAATTAATGACACAGGCTTCTTACCTATAGGCATTATAGTCATGCAAATCAAATAATTTAATAAACACTATGTCTACGAGAAGACATTATAGAAATAAACTAAAAAAACGAACAAATTAGAAGGATTATGGATAAAGAAGAGCGTCTAGATTGGGTTAAACAGGTGGACTTTCCAACTGAATGAATCAGGGGTATGGTGAGTTATTGATAGAAAAGTTCGGGTCATTCCAGAATCAGAAAATGCAGATCATTACTCATTATCCTTTCTAAACTCTACTGCCTTTAAACATCTTCGAAATATTGATATTAGCTAAAACTAAGACATGTTAACCAAGTGGATCTAGCTTTTTGTAAACGGTTTGGTTAACTAATTAGGGGCTAATCCGAGCCCAATGCTGAGGACTAGGGGACCACTAAGGTCTCCGGTATGAATACAGTGGCTCTGAAAAAAAAACAAAAAATCAGTGGATTTTATGTTGGGGTAGACAATTTAATTGAAATTCCATAATTATTATATCTACTGAGCGAAACTCTTAGCTGAAAGAAGCAGTTGAGGAAGGTCCCAAGCTTTGATTCAGGAGCCGACGATTCTGGAATAAAACACTCAATGGTTCTGTTCTTCTGGAATGATTTTATTTTTAAATATATCCCGAGTGGAACCAATAATTACGTTTACAGTTAGTAACTGATGACTTGGTACCAGAGGACCCCCCACATTATCGACGTCTACAGTGGACGGAGAAGTCCAGGAGAAATTAATCACGATTAGTGATTTTCAATTTCCTATAATAGTAAGCTTAGCAAATTTTGCCTACCTCTGCAGAAAAACCATTTGCGAGCATAAAAAGCAACTACTGGCCAACCATCCTGGTGCTATCATGATACCCCAGTCGGGACGAAGGGACGTCGAATATTATTTTTTATTTGAAGATGTATTCTTATATAATAACCCCAAGCATTTAAAGGAACAGCAAAAACTCGTGTTTGAAACTGGAGCCAAATACGAGTCTCCCTCCCCAACAGGAATCTCCCTGTTATTAAACATAACGAAATGTTATCAAATAATCATAATATAATATGTATTTTGTCATTCAATAACAAGCCATGAAAAGATTTCCAAATCTCCCCTCGCTGGTACGCCAGTAAATTTCGCATAAATTTAGGCCTAGAACAAAACTTTAAAAAAAAGCAATAGATGCTAAGTAAAAAAAATGTTTAAGTTACAATGCAACATACCAGCAAGTATCCAATAGCAAATAAATTAAGAAATTTCGAACGATGAAGGTAATTAATAAACCATGAAAACGTTTCTCTAACTTCTAAATAACACTGTGTTTTTTTTTTATAAACTTTTCCTTCAATCAGTAGGCGTATTATTGATTGCGATTAAATTAACGTAGGCCAACTAATTCTTAATCAAGAATGAAGAAGTAATAAAAAAAAAATACAATGAAGCAGACAGGCGAGACTTTAATAGGAAGTTATTAAGATATCATATATTAACCATTAACTTTAATTGCAGATTTAGATAGTTAAACAGAGCTTCATGAAGTGTTTAGGACTTTCACAGGCTTACCAATTCCCTGAACGACCACAAAGTTACTCTAAAACGACACGACAACGACACGATACAGATGCGCACAGTGGTGAAGAATACAAACTACGCGATGATATGTTGTTGTCGTGTCGTTATCGTGTCTAGTGTAAATCTAGCTTAAATCTAATAGTCTGATGACTAGGCCTGAGTACCAATGGGAAAACAGGAAGACATTCTGTCAAAAAGTTACTGCAAACAGGGTAATATTCCTTAATATTCGTGATGTGTAAACATGTGGCACAGAGTCTGGGCACCAGTACTAATCAAAAGATAGAGGGTTCAAATCTGAAGCAGTCTCTTGACGTGTCATTAGATAAAACACTTATGGAAGTTCACTCAGTTAGGCCCTATAAGTATTAAGTGGGCACTTGGTAGGTTAGAAGGTGTGTTCACAAATACACTTACAGTACAACCGCATGGGGGTTCTGCAAGAAGCTGAGTATGTGTTACATCAGTAATTAATTCAATGAGAGGTAATATAGTGAAGCGAATAATATATTTAATTCATTATCATTTAAAAGGTAATTAATATTTAAATTTATTTGTCAAATAATAGAAACTAATAATAAAATATATTAAAATCCCTATATAAAGGCCAATTCTATGACGATAAATGAAGTATTTATAATACTGAAAAGTAGGTTGTAACCACCTCGCTAAAGCCCCACTCAAATTTTAACTGTAGAAGCCTCAAGCTTTCCGTATACATATAAGTGTGCGTTTAGCGCCTGCATGTCTGCTAGCAAAAATCTATATCGGTACCTATACGTACGGGTACGACATTACATGAAGCCTGTTTTCATAAAATTGCTACACGCCTTTGACAACGCTGATTGGTCGGTAGAGCATGGGAGCCTGTATAATCGCGTCAGTGGAATTGCAGTGAAAACACTGTAGAAGCAGTGTCCTATTTTATGGAAACCAATATTTACGTATGATAAGACCATGGTAGTATTAGTGAGATACTATAATACCTCCATGATAAGACTAAGTTTAGGAATCATTTTTACAAATAATTCAGATAAATGAAAAACTCCTCACTTTTAAATCTCTAATGATTCCTGTTGAGATACGATAAGCTGGAAACATTATACAGTACATGGTTCTGGATTTGTGCTCTGATTTTTCGTGCCCTACATTTATGCAAGGGTATTGAACTTGTGATATATAAGCATCACTAACCGTTATGTCTAATACACTAATCTTCAACACAAAATGTAATGTGTTGGCCTATCTCATGGGTATCGCGATCCGCTAGTTCCAAGGCTTTTATTAAATATTTATAGAATAATGAGATACCACGGTTGTTTCTTTTGTTTTTAAACGATTTTGAACATTCCGGAAATATTAAATTAGTTTGATAGAGGTTTTACTGAAGTTCAATCCGCGTGTACTATGTAATCGATAGTATGAAGGAATTGTGATCGTCAATAAATAAGCAATGATAAACATAACAATACAAATAATAAAGAAATTGATATAGAATTCAGTAATTTCGAAAACTATTGAATTTTACTATTACTGAACCTGAATCATGGAATGGTGTGTTAATGAGTTTTTTAGAAATATGATGGATGGGCAAAAAGACAAGTAAAATGAATTAAAAGAAATGAAAAAGTTGTTGATGTTGATAGAATGTTGATATGTAACCTAGAACCTAGTAATGATGGTAGAATCGATGTCGTGATTTATGAATAATGAGGAAAATAGTACCGGTACATGACAACATTGTATTGTAATTGTACAATATTTTAATAAATGACTGATGGGTCGAAAGAGAAAAAGAAATATAAGAAATATAATGATAATAATAATAATACAAGCCTAATGTTATTGAAGTGAATAGTTATGATGACAAAATAATAATAATAATAATAATAATAATAATAATAATAATAATAATAATAATAATAATAATAATAATAATAACATTATATATAATATTAATGGTCAGGATACAAAAATTGCAAAAAAAAAATGTTTTCAATGAATTTGAAAAGATGAGTTAATCAAATTTTGACTATTTCCAAGGAAGTTGACTCACGAATGCATCGAGAGAAGCTGTTGAACAACATATCGTGTAAACTATAACCAACAGCTTTATCGAGGTGATTAAAGCTAACACGATGCAGTGAACAACAATTACATTATGAAAAAATGTCCACTTGAAGTTAATTTAATTGAAATAATATATCTACTGTATATCTGTAGGCCTATGCATCGGTTATTTGTAAGTTGTGCGTGGACGTATCCACATTTAGAAGCTTTCGGTTGCGGGACGACGATAAAATCTAGAACGTAATGACGTCACGTAGTCATCTGCGCACACGATAATCTGTTCACTTATAAATATTATACTTATACAAAAACGTACTGTACTAAAAACAAAATCTGATTTTGCTTAATATGAATGAGATCACATCATAAAGTTGATCCTTTTTAATCAATTAATAAATGTACTTGAATTTAAAAAACAAGATTTTCAATGAAATTAAAATTCTTCTCAACGATGACTAAAAGCTTAGGAAGCAACAGCGAATTGAATTACGAATATGTCTACCAAATGTAGAAGAACAATATTTTGTTGATTAAAGTATGAGGTGTTTATTTTAATCTAGGTGCATAAGACGATAAACGAGTCAATACTTTTAATATAGCTTACAAACAGAGAATGTACTCATTACTAACGAATCTCATATTCTATATATATATTTACAAATTATCTTGAATACAATCGTACATTTATAGGCCAGCCATAATAAATAAAACGTAAATATCTTTTTGTTATGTACACAAATTTGAAAGTGAATTTATTATATTGGCATATATATACGGCGTTAATACACATATTTGATTCTTTTATGATATTGAAGATATAGCCACTTTTTGTGATATTATCTTTAAAATCATCAGATATTAATTGAAACATTGCATTGCTTACGTAAAAACCTCTAATAAATAAATCTTTCCGGAGGTGTCAATCAAAATCAACAACTGACCAATCAAAACAGAGACAGGAATTCAAGAGTCTTACAAACACACGTGCTGTCCCAGAAACGCACGTGTGCGCATGTTTTTTACAAATGTCGTTTTGTGGGGACCAGCAACAATATCCAAGGGGTGCGTCTTAGCGTAAAGGTCCATTATCAACTTCCCAGGAGACACAGTGTTGATTTACGAACTCTTCACTGCAGAAATATTAAACTCTCTTTCAGCTAAATTTCTACTCAAAATAATAATATAAACTGTATTATATGCGTTTGATAATTTAAAAAAAAAATCTTGTTGTTCTCATTTAAAACTAAAAGCTAATAGATTACCGTTAGGAAAATGATATAAATTTAAAAAGTAAATAATAATAAACAAGCAAAAAGTAATAAAGTAATTCAAATTCTGAAAGTTGTTTGTTCAAATAATTTATTTGTAAAAACATGTTGCCAAAGTATATCTTTATGTCAAAACTAAATCCAAAAATATACATACATGTACCCTTAAGTGGCCAAAAGGACTTTTCAGTAATATATTCTATAAAACTATCTCACGCTACTTGACATGCCGAAGCAAAGCCTAAATTTTAGACAGACTCTTGTGAGCCGCACAGAGGAAGTCTTGATTAAAAATGTTTCCTTTGGTGATTTACCTGACATTAGTACCTTCTCTAACACGTATCAAATAATTGTTTTTTTTAATGAAAAATATACTTGTACGTTTTAGCAATAATGAAATATTAGCAATATTACTAAGCCCATTTATTTGTAAATACCAACAGTATTTCAAGAAACGCAGCACATGATCACATAGGCAGAAAAATCAGACCATGCAGACCTGAGCTATGCAGGATCATAATCATGAACATTAACATAATAAACATTCATTTCGTCAAATTAAAAATATATACACCATTATGGATAGCTAATAGTACCATAAGTGAGACAAACAACGACAACTGAACACATACATATTAAGGCCTACATACATAATTATAACACTTTGGCAATATCAAACGGTATGTTATATTCAACAGGATATTATAATAATGTGAATGTTAAATACATAATTGGTAAATTAGATAAATTTAGGGCTTTATTGCCTGAATAAAACAATGAGGAGGTTACCGGAATCTAGTGATGAAGTAACGTATAGGTTATCGTGTTCAATACAATTAAACTAAACAACTGACCAACCAAAACACGTTATTCCATGGTTAGGAATACGCACATGTCCCACAAACACACACAAGATTACATAGTTCTATTCTGTCACCTTAGCAACAGCATCCAAAGGGTGGGCTTAGTGAAAGAGTCCATTGAGAAATATTCGTACTGTTTACGAACAGAATAATGACGTTTAGTGTAAATACTTGGGTTTAATAATAAGCAATGCTTCCTATACATTATTTATGTTGAAAATAAAATCCAGCACATAATTATGTCAGGTTATCCTTCTTTACGCGTGACTAAAACATGATTCAGAGAATCAATTCATCTTCAAAGATAAATTCACTATTTACAAAAGGTAGTGTTTGTTCCTGATCCTTTAAGACAATTACAGTAAAGCCCCTCCATAAACCCCTGTTAAAGAGATACCCTATGAAGGGGACACATTTTTGGCCCTGAATCGTAGCAAACATATTACGATCAAACACTTTGACATCTATAACCAATAGATGTACCGCTTACATTTGTTGTCTCCTATTGCATATAAAACATCATTAAGTAGTTCAATTTGAATTATAAATGTAAACAACACCGTCTTGTAATTCCAAATATAATGTCACTATTTCTTCAGGAAAGTCGTAATATCTGCATACGTTGTTTCACAGCTATTTGGTATAATGTTTTTACTAGATTTAACATTTGTAAAGTCTAATTCAGCGTATAAAAGTCCCTCTACATTGGTACTTGTTATTTTAGGTTTAGTTGAAATTGGAGGTTTTTCTGTTATTAAATTGCACTTTGGTGGTAGTGAATGAGTTTTCAGTGACGTGCTAATTGCAGGAGGACCGACAGTTACGGGGCGAGCGAAACGCTTAAATACTAGATTTGGTCGACGATATGTCGACTCAGATATTGACGATGACTTGGTTCTTGCTAAATCATTTTTGAAAGTTGTTGTCTGAAAACATATGTTTTGAAGGGGTTTTGGAAGTTTTCGTTTGTATTTTTTCGCTTGTGAAGCTACGATTGAGTCTCGAAGAGATTGTTCTGCATGAAGACGCTCTTGCACAGCTTGCGAAAGATCAGTATCTTCATTATTAGTAGAAAGTCGTTCGGTAAAGGATGTACTATTCTCTAAACATGTATATCGCTCTGGTGTATAAGTTACACTATGTTCTTGCTTTGTATTTATGACTAAACCACTCTTTTCATCTCTTTTTAACTTTACCAACATCAACGCAACGAGAAATATTGCTCCAAGAAGGCAGGCAATACCAATTAGACCACCCGTTAAAAGTCCTGCCCTGCCATTATTTGTAGGTTGATGCTTGTCGAATAGAGGTGGATTGCCAGAAGGTGCATTATTTTTAGGCACATTGTTGGAAGTTGATGTAACGTGTGGTTCGAGTGCCCTTTCATTCATGGGAATATTAGGATACATGAATCGTGGCCTGTTGGTCCCACGACTCATGGTAGGCTTCGGTATTGGTATCCGAGGATTTATCTCGGGAACTCTAGTGACCTTTGGAGGAAGTTTTGGAAGTGCTACTTTCAGTGTGATCTCTTTTGATCCTTTAATATCTATTGAATTCCGAACGGTGCACCGTACAGGAACATTGTTATCATCCTTTGAAATATTTTTTATTTTTAATGTTCTTCCATTTTTTAAAACTTGCAGACGGCCTGTGCTTCTTGCAATCTTAACAAGTTGTTTACCTTTACCATACGTCCACTTGAATCTCTCGGGGCTAGGAATGGCTACGGCAGTACAAGTTAGAGTAACATCTTGACCAATTCTGAGTTTACCAAGTGAAGGAGAAATATTTACCGTTGTTGGAAACGCAAATGGAATTACGGAACAATTTATCGGTGTGATTAATGCGGTTCCACTTGCAACACACGTAAAAGGAACCATGTTGTCTCCCTGTGTTATCACGTGTTTTGTAGTAACACCATTGATTCCTGAATTTGCAACATTATTTTGAGATATACTATCATCAGCTCTCATCCAATTTAATGATACCTTTGGATTGCTACCTTTAGATGTACATGTAAATGTTACTTTGTCATTAAGTTTCGGCTTCTGTGGCGAAATTTCACATTTAGGATAACCTGGTTCTGGTGGAAAAACTGGAATTATTCGCAAATCTAATCGTATTGAAGCTTTGTCTATACCCTTCTTATCAAACAAAACACACATATAAATTCCCGCATCCTCAGCATTGGTTTCTCGGATACGAAGATTAAAGAATCCCTGCTTAATATCGCCCGTGATGCTTAATCGACGCTGTAGACTTGCTTCTACTGAAGTGTAAACAGTCCTGTCGGAGCTAAGATACGTCTCCTTTGCTCCATCCAATTTTGACCAATAAATCTGATGTCGAGTGACATCAAAACCGTTTTCAACATCACATGTTAATGTCACGGTGCGCCCTGCATACGATTCTTCTGAGTTTGAAGATGTTTGTAGAGTAGCAGATTGTGCTGCCGCGGAAGCACAACAGATAACTACAAATATATAGACGATTTCCATTCTATTAATTTCCATTAATACAATATTTCATATAGAATCAGTAAGCTACTTTCACGTCATTTAATTTCCTCCAACGGAGATAATTGTTCAGATAGCTGTGATGAAAATACGGTTCGCATGTGGTAAAGCGTGTATCCACTATTTCACCCTAAAAGTAACTAAAATAATACACGATACAGTGATTGTGAGAAATCATCATCAGGACAGTATCATACGCTTTGCACTCTATTTTCTTGTACCCTGTTTTGGTCATTTCCTGCTAATTATACTGCCAGAACGCAGCCAATGAAAACTAACACGAGACTCTACTGTAATATGACTCATAATGAAAGCCCAGTTAACTTCGTATCCAAATACCGGAAGCATTATGATAAAAAAGCATTTACAATAAAATATGAAGCATTACAATAGGCTTCTACTACGCGTTTGTAAATTTGGCGCAAGAAAGCATTTTCATTTTCAGCATGATATTTTTCTTTAAAGTCCCGGTACGTGGTCTTTAAAATTAAAAGTAATGACTTCTAAATTGATGGGCATATTTATCTCTATGAACATGTTTTAGTAAATAATTAACATGGAAAGGATGTACCGGTAAGCCTACATGTGTTTGTATTTTTGGCTTCGTAATGACACGGATTAAAAAGGTGCATGACCTTATGATTCGCTTTAAGTAATGTCAAAAATGAAAAAGCGCACGAATCCACGTACATAAATTTTGGTTATGGCACGGATGGAATGGATGTACGCACGTATTATTTGTGTTGTGAAGGCACGAACCGAAATGATGTACACACGTATCCACGTGCATACCTTTTGGTTATGTCACGGATTGAATAGGTGTACACACGTATGATTTGTGATGTGATGTCACGAACCGAAATAATGTACACACGTATCCACGTGCATACGTTGTGGTTTATGTCACGGATTGAATAGATGTACACACGTATAATTTGTGTTGTGAAGGCACGAACCGAAATGATCTACACACACGTGTATAATGTTTTGGTACGTGATGAAATGACAATAAATGATGTGCGCATGTCTTCTGGCTCGTCAAGACAATGAAAATGATGTACGTATGTGTAGGTCTTTGATCTGTGATGGCACAGTTGCAAATAATTTACGCACACGATTATGTTTTGTCTACTCCTGTAATACAGACCTGTAACTTTTATTATGCACGCGTACGCGTAGCCAATGGACAGATATAGAAGCATATATCAATCAAGAACGAAACCTCACTCGTATTATAGCTTAAACGTCAAAATCTTTTTATTAAAATGTTATTTAATTTCAATGTTTATTAGCCGCTTGAGACTATAACGTATTTCATTGTTTGTATCCACTTATTACGTTAGAACCAATATTGATTATTCTTGGTAATAAAATCATCACGTTTCTGGTGGCCTCTGTCTTGGAAATTAACAAAAGGCTGCTAGATATGCATGCTATATCTACAGTAGTTCAAGTAGGATAAGGAAACTCCACTACTGAAAGAGAATGTAGAACGCTGTGCAGCAAGGCTGGGGGCTACAGGCTACTGAGATCCTAAAGAATGAAATAATCAATTTCGTTTATACTCATGCTCAGAAGAAACTTAATGAGACAATGATTGTTACGAAATACAGACCAGTTTCAGACCTTCCTCACCGCTACTGCCTCAGCTACACTACTGAAATTCGGAAAATTATATTCCATTTAGAGGTGACATAAACATATTATGTAAAAATCCTTTCCTGTGCCTCGTCTATTTCGAATCTTTGTATCTGTCACAGAATACTGTTTAAAATTCATGTAATCTTTTCCATTTTTTACTCATCACACCTGTTCTTATCATATCCTTGATCTTGTTTTTTTTTTTTTTTTTAAATTCGAATTGGTTCAATGATGCTCAAGGGGTTTATTATATTGATTCATAAGAGCATAAGTCTGAAGCACATTTCTAGAAGTATGTACCATTTTAAAAGTCTTAATGATTATGAATTTAAAGATGTACTATTAGTAAAATCTAGAAAAATACCTCAAAACTTAAACAAAAATCTGCTTCCCTTTAGAAACAAACGTCATCGTCTGAAGGCTACTGCTCCACTGACTCTAGCATTTGCAATTTTTATGCATACGGTTTTGGGGGTGGGGGCATACACAATTAAATAATTTCATTTTAAACTTTCCCTAATATTAATAGTAGTAGAGAATAGAATACTCACTTAAAAGAATCAAATAAATTATTAGTTTCCACAAAGAAACGGATCGAAAAAACCGATTTACAGACATTTTACTACATAAATCCTTAAATCGGCTTTTGTAGTAAAATGTCGGTAAACTGCTGAAAACAATTTGTTTTCGATCTGTTTTTGGTGGAAACTAATCATTTGCATGATCCTTTTAAATGAGTTATTCAAAATTGTATTTGATTTTTTTTAGGTATTTTCCTGTCTTTTGACTGATGGCACATTTTTAATACAAGTCCATTTTCCATTCACTGGAAGTACATAATTTTGTTTCCGATGTGAATGCAGATATTGGTGTGTTTTATGAGTTGAGGGTGATATAAAGGTCCTAGTTTCAGTCTATCTACACGTAACTTCCGCCATGGTATGATCTTGAATTATATGTAGTGTTGAAAGCAAAAGGAAGTTATCTTCTGCCAGTTTTAATTCTATTTTCAATATTCATGCCACAAGTTTTTAACGTTGAAAATAGAAATGTGTTAGCTAAAATTAAAATTGAAAGCTACATATAGATTTTAGTTTACATTTAGTTCTATTTCGTACCACTAAAGTTGAAGCAGGGCCCATGTTTTATAAAGTGGTTTTGAAAATCGATTTCCTAATTCATTGTTCAATTTAATCGTAAATAGATACTAATATTTTTTCAAGAGTGCTTTTTAAAACATTAAAACAGTTTTGTTGCCAATAAAATCTCCATTATTTGAAAACAAGTGGGATAAATAAATATTCTTTTAGGAATATCGAAGCGTTATATTTTATAATTATGTTGAGTACTTCATTAATCGTAATGTTTAAGCTATACAATTGTTATACATACGGGTATGTATTAAAACTATTTTTCAATGATCTTTAAAATATTGAGATCAACCTAAGTTTCCTTTACCGATATTCATTATTTTTGATAATGTCATTCATAAAATTATTCTTACATGATCAACTTTAATCATAACGTTTATTTTGGATATGGTACTTCTCTTAATTGATATCAAGGATCTTGGTAATTAAAATCCCTTTCAAATAAGAATGTTTAGCTTCAAGCGTCAACTCCTTGTCCTTCTATCCATCCCATAAATTCTTATCGAAAGTAAACTTAGGTGAAGTGATGACATTATCGGAAGACGAGATGATATCCCGAAATTCGTGACATCCCCACTAGTAGGGATTAAGAAGACTATTAGTCTAATAAGCTTCCTTTGTCAACTCACCCAGTCGCGTAAGACCGGGTGTTGCACGCGCAGCGTTCGATGGAACACGATTACATTAGTTTGCAAGTTTCTAACACTTCTAGAGTAAAGTGCTTCATTGTGCATACTTCTTAAGTTCCAAAACAGAAATCACAATAGTTCTACATATACATACATAGAGATACATTAAACAGTTTTGTATATGTTTGGTAGTTCTATATATACATACAGTGCATACGTTTAATTAATCGTTTTATAGTATTCTGCAAACTTCCAGAGGACAGACTGTATGCCATTGGGTATACTGTACTTGTAAAGTTTCAAAACAAGAAATCATAATAATTCTACATATACATACATAAGCACACAGTTCTGCATATGTTTGATATGCCTACACTTAATTTTTTAAATGATTAATAATTATTATGTCGAGTGGTGTCCTCGAACCACGATGGCCTTCCATATTTCCCTGTCCTGTATGACTGCCTTGAAGACGTTTATTCCAAGCCCGGTGTCATGACATGAAAGTAGGTTAAGGCGGGTATTTCAAGTTTCAGTTTTCCATATGTTAAATATCTAATGCACGAGGTAGGATGCATCTTCGTTATTAACTGTAATAGTGACTAGTAAATTGAGTTTTTTTTCCCGTCTTGGGGGTTGATTATGGGAATATAGATCAGCATTCGTTACAAGCTGCTTACAGTTCAAATATATAACAGTTCTGGGTACTGCTGCCATTGTGAAACTTGCAGTTTTTCAATGGTTTGCTGTATTTTCTCCATGCTGCTTTATCAACTTCACATCCTTCTATCCAAACTAATATTCGCCCTCTCAGCATCTGGGATGGGAACCTTCATCAAATGGTTATCATAGGCCTAGATAGTAGTTTGGTGGAGATTTAAAAGCGTTGAGACTGTTTTTATTGTGGAAGGTGCAATAAACATACAGGACCATTACCATGATCAATGAACATTTACCACGAGTCTTTGGAGCAAGCTCTCCACGCTGCTGCGTAACTTGACATCTTATGCTGTGCTTTCTGTAAGCCCCAATGTACTTGATGTTTTTGTTGCGAGCTCTCGACACTGCCAACTTGCGTAACCTGACATCTATGCTGTGCTTTTTGACGTCATGGCTGCGAGCTATCCAATCTGCCACCTTGCGTAACCTGACATCTTATGCTCTACTTTCTAAACCCCAATGTTCTTGAAGTCTTTGCTGCAAATATCCAAGCTGTCACCTTGCGTAACTTGACAAGTGTGCAGTGTTTTCTATCTAAGCTCCAATTTTGCTTGACATTTTTGCTGCGTGCTTTTCAGGCTGCCACATTGTTTCTTACCTTAGTGATTTAATGAGGCAGTTTTAAATTCGTAATGGCTGCCTGGTCTCTTGAGTTGAGTAATTTACTTGTCATAATTTGACTTGAAAAGTGTGAGAGATATACTGATAACTATGTGTGAAGAGAGTGAAATCTATGTGTATAATTTGAGAATCGAGCTGCACGTTTATCTTCAAAGTTTAGCAAGTTCTAATCCCTGTTTAAAAAGGTGTAGAAAATTAAGAACTATCCATGTCCTCAAGATTATTTACGATTTTAAACACTTCAATCATGTCGCCTCGTGTTCGTCTTTTCTAGAGCTTAGGCAAACCCCATTTATTAAGTCGTTCATCGTTTATGTAAGTCGGGACGAACCTTGTTGCCAGATTTTGAACATTTTTTCAAGCATATGTCCTTTTGCAGGTTTGGTGACAAACCTGGATTGCATATTCCATTGTGCTCGAACACGGGACTTGTACAAAGGAAAGAAACATCCTTGACATCCTTGACATGT